GAAACAAATGTGCTTATTTTATATAGCGAAACAAATGTGCTTATTTTATATAGCGAAACAAATATGCTAATTTTATATAGCGAAACAGAATGTGCTAATTTTATATAGCAAAACAAATGTGCTTATTTTATATAGCGAAACAAATGTGCTTATTTTATATAGCGAAACAAATATGCTAATTTTATATAGCGAAACAAATATGCTAATTTTATATAGCGAAACAAATATGCTAATATTATATAGCAAAACAAATGTGCTAATTTTATATAGCAAAACAAATGTGCTAATTTTATGTAGCGAAACAGATGTGCTAATTTTCTATTGTTTAAGAGCAAGTATCGTCATATATCACTCTCCCAATTTTTTTTTTTTTCTAATTCTGCACGGAACAAACTTACGCAGGGGGGCTGTAAGACTTGGCAACAGAGATACCTGAGAAGTAGGACCCACGCTGTGGTGTATTAAATTTAACCTCTATATTCAAGCTGCACACGCGCAGTGAAATATGAATACCTAAACCCAGAGTGTCCCATATTTCAACCACCATTCATTGCCTGCAGCCAATTGTGGGAATGTGGTTGTGCCGAATGAAAAACAGGAAGAAATGAATATAGGTTGCTTTGGGAATGGTGGGTGGTTAGTAAAAGTTATCCCTCGAAGATGGCGCTGTAGCCTTAAAACATTAGAAAATATTAATGGACAACATGTTAAAGTTATAATACATTGCACGAGAAAGAAAGAAAATGAACATTTACGTCTAACTTCAAATAACATAATTAAGGCCTTTGCGTCTGGTCACAAATAGTAAGATACCACAACTTGGTTAGTCTATTTATCCTTAATGGCCTTCTTTACCCACAAATCAAGAGAAAGTTAAAAAGGGGGGTTCGTGAGATGGTTCGTAACTAAAAAGACTCGGAGAGAGAGAGAGAGAGAAAATGAAAAGTTTCAGAGAGACATTTTTCAATTCTCTCTTTAGTTAACATAGTTTCGTATGGTTAAAACGTACTCACACGTGTAACCCACTACTAAGTTAGTATATGTAGACTATTTTACGTATAAGAACAGATTTAAATGTGAGATTAGGTACGAATGAAGTATCTAAATATATTAATTAATTAACATAGCAATTCAGTTGGTTGAAGAAACTAATATAAACTATGAAATTAGCTATATTTGTGTCTAAATCCAAGTAATGAATTTGAATAATGTATGATGTGTTTTTTTACTTCTAATTTAAAATGATATATATGTATGTTTCTAACCCAACATGACATGTAGGGTATTTACATGGTTATAATTAAGTTTTAACTCGCAGTTTCTAGTGTTCTTCGTAATCAAACTTTCTTAAAAATAATAAATAGCAGCATTAGAAGGCTAGTTTCACTCGCTCTCTGCTTACATTAGAATAAAACCCGATCTTACTAGGTTAGAACTGAGTTGCTTAACAAGTACTTGAACAGTTCTATACGCACTTGCTAAGGAAACAGACTCTTTCAACTCCATTATAAGTATGCACCAAGAGAAAACAACTTGAACAAAAGTAAATACATCTAAAATAGTTTGACAATATTAAGTATATGTTTCTGTCATTGAACTGTCTTATCTGGTGCATTTTACACCACACTGATACTGACTATTTTCCGCTTTCTTATCTGTGTCTTTTTGGACTCAACTGATGCCCCCTGGTGGCTAAGCGATAACTCTGAGGCCTTATAACGCTAAAAAATTGGGTTTCAATACCCTCGGTTGACACATCAGAGATTACTCATTGTGTATTTTTTCACTTTACAACAAATAAACAAACAAATGAACGAGGTATATTGATACTGTAGACTTTCTGCCATCTTATCTGTTGCGTTTCTATACCGCATAATACTGAATACTTTCTGCCATTTTATCTGTTGCATTTCTATACCACATAATACTGAATACTTTCTGCCATCTTATCGGTTGCTTTTCTATACCACATTAATACTGAATACTTTCTGCCTTTTTATCTGTTGCGTTTCTATACAACATTAATACTGAATACTTTCTGCCTTCTTATTTGTTGCGTTTCTATGCCACATTAATATCTAAATACTTTCTGCCATCTTTTCTGTTGCGTTTCTATATCACATTAATACTGAATACTTTCTGCCATCTTATCTGTTGCGTTTCTATACCACATTAATACCGTACACTTTCTGCCATTTTATCTGTTGCGTTTCTATACAACATTAATACTAAATACTTTCTGCCATCTTATCTGTTGCGTTTCTATACCACATTAATACCGTACACTTTCTGCCATCTTATCTGTTGTGGTTTCCACCATATTGATACTGTAGACTTTCTGCCATCTTGTCTGTTGTGGTTTATAGCACATCAGTGCAGCCCTTGTACTATTTTGTCATTTACGTTTTGTAATACAGTGCCAATAGATTTTCCGGAGACTCTCAACAGTACGTCTGTTAACCAAAAGCGAGTCAAGAGACAAATTCCCGAAGCTGTCTGGCCAGAAGTCTTATTGGTCGTTGATTATGACACTTTTAAAGTTCATGGTCATAACAACAGGGATATCAAGAGATATTATGTCAGCTTTTGGAATGGGGTAAGTTTTGTATCACACGCACACAGTATTGGTTTTAAATACACATAGTAAATGTATAAATGTTGTTCTCTCTAATGAAAGACTACGTTAAAGTCTGCAGAAGCTAATATAAACAGTTTAATATTAGGTCGTCAAGAAAGTAATGTCGCGTTTTGGAACACTTTCATTAA